CACCCCTCTGGTCTTTTTCATTTTGCCTGGGCATCTAAGTCGAAGAAGCTCGAACTTTCCGGAAGACGATTTTTATTCGCTGGTGGGGGCGTGAGAGATGGCTGGGTAGATCGTGACCCGTAGTTTTTGTGAGAGAAATTAGGGTAAATAATTACAAAGGGAGCCACCTATACTTTTTCATAACTTAAAGTCATCACCCTGAGTAGTGTGAAGGTTCCAGTTGGGGATTGCTATTTTTAAAAGAGTTATTATCAAAAATATGCTTAGGATTTTACTTTAATAGTATTAGGAATAATTCCAAAGCATCATGCTCTGCTCTCTGTATCTGCTCTAAACGTTTGCTCGAAAATTCCCAGTGCGCACGGTTTATGCACTCACGCTCTAACTTCGCTAAACTCTCTTAAAATACGAAAACTCTGAGCGTGCCTCGGACCGCTCTTAAAAGCTTACCGTATAAACATTTACTCAAAACCGGAGCTTAAGCGCACCGATGGACTTGCGAAACACATGCTGCCAACTTTGCTTTCAAAAAATTCTCTTCCGTGTTCGCTCTAGCAGGAATTAACGCAGTATAGTCGTGGCCAAAAATATTTTTAAAAACTGTAATGGACTAATTTAAAAAAACCATTTTTCAAAAGCTGTTGGCAGACTTTCCTGGCTATAATTTGGATACCAGGTCGAACGAGGAACAATGTTAATGTATGATTTCCATTGTCTTCTGTGCATCCTTTAAGTGGTACCTATAGCTATCAAATGTAAGTATGCAAAGTAACAAAAGTAACGAAGAACCTATTTAATAACTAAGTGTGACTCCCCAGACTGGTAATAAACACTTGTAAATGTACTAAAACTGTCAAACATACCAATCTAGACTGCTCTAAATGTTCAAATGCCCATCAAAGGAATCAGATTGTGACGACCCCAAGAAACGATTTTAGAACAGACAATGCTTTGTAACATCTACTACATATTCGATAAGTGTCCTGAACACTTAGGGGAAAGCTGACGAATTTGGACCACCACTGTAACTAATCAGAGGTAAGCAATTTGTGCCAATTTGGGCCTTATTCTATACAGTATGTGTTGCTCATAGGTATTAAGGTATATTGTCTACCATAAAGATGAAATTGCTCACACATGACAAAATTTCAAATTTCAAATTCCAAATGCAAAATTTTATGAAAAACCAAACGTATTCATTTGTCCACGTTTGACCACCCAAAATTTTCATTTGTTCACCCTTCAAAAAAAAGTTATAAACAAATAAAGAAATTCGTCACCAGCACCCCCATGAACATTTTTCTTTAATTCTCCAGTATGGATATATATTGTCCACGATGTGTCCACGTTTGACCACCCAAAATTTTCATTTGTTCACCCTTCAAGAAAAAGTTATAAACAAATAAAGAAATTCGTCACCAGCACCCCCATGAACATTTTTCTTTAATTCTCCAGTATGGATATATATTGTCCACGATGTGTCCACGCTTGACCACCCAAAATTTTCATTTGTTCACCCTTCAAAAAAAAGTTATAAACAAATAAAGAAATTCGTCACCAGCACCCCCATGACCATTTTTTTTAAATCCTCCGGAATGGATATATATTGTCCACGATGTGTCCACGCTTGACCACCCAAAATTTTCATTTGTTCACCCTTCAAAAAAAAGTTATAAACAAATAAAGAAATTCGTCACCAGCACCCCCATGAACATTTTTCTTTAATTCTCAAGTATGAATATGATTGTCCACGATGTGTCCACGTTTGACCACCCAAAATTTTCATTTGTTCGCCCTTCAAAAAAAAAGTTGCAAACAAATTAAGAATACGATATCAATACTGATTGATGCTAACTTCACAGACTTGCAAAAAAAAAAAAAAATAAAACAAAGTGTCGAGAGAAAACGAACACGCCTTCGTGATTCGAGAAAAAGGGTTACTCCAGTGGTAACAAAAGCAAAAGAAAAAAAAATGAACACGAATTATGAAGCAACCAGGGGGGCTTCGAAGCGAGGGAGAGACGTCGCGAGAGGCTCTCCTCCTGGGTCATCGGAAAGGCAGGCTAAGGTGTCGCGGCAAACAGAGAGTGGCGGCGGACAATGGATGCGTAGTTAGTAAATTACAGGCTGGCTGGCACAATAGCGTGCGGAGAGACCGTCCTGGCGCGTGTCTCTGTGTGCGTGCGTGTGTTTATCCTACGGTCCGCGCGCGCTGCACGGTTTACAGAGCTGCGCGTGTGCACCAGCGCGTATCCACCGTTCGTCCATGCGTGCAGGGTCCGCGTGGGAGATTCCCGGTATATATCAATCCGATCTGCAGGTACCTGTACATTACGTGCCTGCATTAGATACCGGCCGCAAGATTACCTTGTGTCCATCCCTCCCTACCCCCCATTCTCATCGCGAGACCAGCTCCGACGTCTCTCGCTGTTTGCGAAGAGGTACATACATACGATCCGTGGACACCTAGGAAAACTGGACTACGGTGGAATAATTTCTCTGTACGACCATGGATCCTCGAGGATTTCACGGGTTATGTCTTGTGTATTTGGACACTAGGAAGGGGAAAATTACTGCAATCTTAGGTACAGTTTTGTAGATATGACGTGGTCTTCTAACTAAAATAGTATTTTCCTTTTATATTTCTTTCTATCTTGAAAAGCAAGTGAGACATTTAAGATGCTCACGCCAGGTAGGGCAATTCCTGTATTATCAATGCGTTCGTGACGGGTTTACAACACTCGTCAAACGCTCGTAACAGATCTCAAATAACCAAACCAAAACCCACCCCATGCTATAATAATTCAAAAATATTCCAGTCGGAAAAAAACCGCGAATTAACTTCGTAAACCCGAAAAACAAACTACACTCTCCGCGAACAAAATAAAAAGGATTAACCGACCTGTGCCGAGCAACCATCTACCCCATCCTCCTATCAAGCGTCCTGACATATCACGAGCCGACAGAGAGAGAGAGAGAGAGAGGCTGACATTAAAATCCGCCCTATCGAGACTCCTCGAAAGTTCGAGCCGGGGCGACGACGAGTTCGACTAATTAGAGTCGTCTGAAAGCGGCCCGCTCATTAACGGAGCGCATGGCGATTTATCGTCAGCCGGCGGGCTGGCCAATGGAGAAAAAAAAAGGGAGGGGAAGGGGGACGGCAGCGGCGTGAGGGGAACGAAAACGTCAAAGCGAACCAGACCAACGGAGAGAGAATTAAAAGAGAAAGAAAGAGAGGACGGTAGGATATTCGTGGCGAACAAAAGAAGAAGTCAGCAAAGAGGAAGCGAGACGGGGTCGAAGGTGGCGATGTCGAAGGGGTTGGGAGGCAGTGGGAAACGGTCGGGGAAGGCCTGGACGAGGAAATGAAGCGTGTCGAGGCTGGAAGGAAGCCGAAGGAAAAATTAAAGCCGTGAGGATCGAGAAAGAGAGGATCGGTTTGTTGAAGGAAGAACGAGGGAACCGAAGAACACCGAGGAGTCAACTTCTGGCCCTTTATCAACGCGGGTGGAGGGGTAGCTAGCTACGAAGAGGGGAGTTGGTCACGGAAAAAGACGGATATACAGGGTGGCCGAGTTAACAATATACAGTCCATTAATTCCTAAACTATTTTAACACGTTGACTGCCACAGTGAAAAAGGCTGTAGTAGCCAGACACACTTTATTTCGTTTTTTAAGTCATAAATTGTCGAAAATATTTGAGTTTAGTTAATAGAGACTGTAGGTCTTGTTTTAAATTATACTGCGATATTAATTTCATGCAGACATTGTATAACAGTGTTTAAATAATCCAGGCACTTTTCAATGTACGTGTCGCCCATATTTGGGTGACGTGGCAGTCAAACTGTTAAAATACGAGAAAATTGTTTACATAAAATCAATCTGAAATTGTATATTTTTTTTAAATCACTTGATAATGCGTTTCAAGACGAATTCAGTAACACTTACAAAGTGGGAAAATATATGATTCCATTTAAAAAATCAAACTTGACCTTTGTATCTCTTAAAATAGTAATACTAAATAAAAATCAACATAGCCCGTGAATTAACCCCCTCGTCCCATTCGATTTTATGTAAACTGTTTTCTCGTATTTCAAAATAGTTTACGAAATAATAGACTGTTAGCGTGGACACCCTGTAGAGATGCTCATTCGTATTTCGATTGTGGTGGTGACGACGGCGTGTAGCAGGCGGTCGTGCCCGGGTAATACTTTATTTGTCCCGCCCCTGGACTTTCTTCCATTTACTGTCCTCCCCCGGCCGTTTCTTCTTCTTTCACCGGCGGTGTTTCCACCCAGCTCGACTATGATTCTTTTCACACTCGGCCATCTTTTCCACCATCTTTCTTGCTAATTACCCCGACTCATTTTCCGCGGTCAAAAATCTCCCTTCGTGGACACCACCTTTCTCTTCTTGCTCCTCAGGTTGGGTACTGTATACACACGACATAGGTGGATCCAGCCTCGATACTTCTGGATGACTTGTTCTCCTGGACAGTGGACTTCACGGAAAAACCCCATGAAATATTCAAATGTCCCTCCGCCAGCAGGGATCGTCTTCTCAACACACATTCGAAGAGTTTTAGTCTCGCGGATTCGACTGCGTTCTGCACTTGCGGAATTTTTCTCGACCACCACAAGTGAAGCTAGCTTCGAGGGGCACGTGGAGGAAGGAGGGAAGTCACAGGGGAAACTTTGAAAACACGAGAATGATGTTTTTTTTAAAGTTTGTAGGATTTCTGGGGGATTTCGATGGAAGTATATTTGTTGTTACTGGTTTCTATGTTCGTCTGGGTGAGAACGTAACTTTCATGGTTAACCCTGTCAAGGTCTAGGTGTACTTTCGAAACTATATGAGGAGGAACGAAGTATAATTTCATGACGACCAACGTGCTAAGTATATGGACGACGTATACAAGAAATTTGTCGTAAAAAAAAACTACACGGTTTACATCACAGAACTGATTACTAAGGCGATCGTTAGGAAAAATGTGCACCAACCTTGATAAAACGCTTGGCCTTGGTCAGGAGACCCAGCGTAGTGTGTCTTGAGGTTTCTGGACCTAACGGAACCAGTATCTTCAGCTTTTCGAGGCAATTTCTGAGGTGCGCTCTCCTGCAACAGAAACAAAAACACCATCAAAATTCAATTTTAATCAATACTTCATGTATGGGGTCTGACAAATACGATATACTGAACCGTTCATTATAAAAGTGGGGTAATTCCATTATTGGACAACGTTGAGTTAGAACTTTGAGTTCCAAAGAAAACATCGACAAATCAATAAAATAATTTTTTTACAAACAGCAACCCCCAGCTAAAATCTTAACAACACTACGCAGGATGATGACCTTAACAACATATTGACAAATTGTCGAAATCTGAGGAGGCTCCCTTATTGTAAATATTTACCCTTTTTACATTATACAATTCACCTGTACTGTTTTTTCCAGTGATTTAAACGGTACGTTTCACAAATTCCACTAATTTGTCCACGCAGAACCACTCCATCCGTTCACCACCACAATTTTCCAATACACTCAATAGCTAGACCAATTCGAAAACTCCAACGAATATCATCGATTCCCACTATCTTTCCATTTACAAAATTCACCGGTATTGTTTTTTCCAGCGATTTAAACGTTCCACGAATTCCACTTACTTGCCCACGTAGAACCACCTTATCCGGTCGCGCAACCACCAGGACACCCTCAGCACGTAGGGTTGACCAATTCGAAACTTTAACGCGCTCGTAATTCGTCGTGGGTCGCGTGGACGGCGTTGAGGGGAGTTGGTTCGAATTACCCGAAAGCCTTCCTGGCATTCGTTTTTCGTGTCACGTAGGGCGCACGATGAATGGAGCGGAATCTCGCCCGGTAAGCTCCGCTGGAAGCCCGTAAACGGAGGACAAAATTGAGGCCGCTGGAGAGCGAGACACGGTCCGAAGAAATGGCGGAAACGCGCGGTGGGGCAACAGAGGTATCCCCATGGCGCTACCCAACCCCCGTAAGAATTCGACGAACGACCATCGCGCATTTCGGAAACGAAGGTCGCAGCGATAGAGGCCACCCCCCGAGCGGAAAAACCGATAAGATCCACCGATTATCGCGGCGATCACGGGCCATTAGCCGAACGAATCGCGCGATAAACATACACCGACCAGAATACGAAAGCGCTGGAAAACGCGCAGGAATTATTTCCCACCCCTCCGACGGAATATCCTGCGGCGACGACTGGTTGCGGAGGAACGGTGGAATCGTCGAATAAATGGAAAGTGGGGGTTGGAATTCCAACACCACTACTTTCCAGCCAGTGTCTACGATCGGTCTTCGAGGGAATTCGGAGGTTATGCTAACGACCGCGGATTGGATATCCGATATCTTTTCGCGGTAAGCACGAAGCGGAAGGAAGAATCATTTTCATGTGTAAAACGGAGATTATTTTATTCGACGGGTGCTTCTGCGGTTAGTGGACTGTGGATTTTGTTTATTATGCATTCTCGTCGGGTAGCATTGTATGATAGTGGGTACAGTGAAAGGTAACTTTGATGAAACAGTGATTCGTTCATAATGGAGTTGAAAATGATTACAGCTGAGTCACTTGTGATCTACGGTAATCACTGTGTAGAGGGTGGTGAATAATTAATGGACAACTGTGTTTCGAAATAAAGAATGTAACAGCGGCGATTTACACCTTTCGAAGGTTACTCGGGAGGGTGAACTTGATAACAGAATACGGCAGAATTTTATTCGAATAATAGACAGGGAAAAGCAGCAGTATCTAAGGGTGTCGTTCTGAGCTTTAAACAGTTAATGATATTAAGTAACTGTTCGACAAAATGTCGATTCATAAAGAAGTATTATTTTATTATAAATATTTAAATTTCCACGTTTAAACAATTAAAAATTACGAAATACTTTTTTTTACCGTTTATTCGTTATTCGAAACTTTTTATCTAGATAATTAGTTTGCCTATCTCTGTTTGATAATATAATGCCTCGGTCTTCGGGTGTGGGTGCTTTTCGGAAGATTATCCCTTTAATTTATATCTTTACAATTATCGGGTGTCTATACTATCATCAACGAAGCCTCGTTAAAATCCAAGTCGAACAGTAGGAGTCGTTATCAGTCCAGTATGTAGACTTCACACACTTCTAGACCAGTCCCACATTCATCTCAAACGCACCATGTACCCTTACAAGCAAAGTCGGCTTCCACTAGGGGACAAAGTGGTGAAGGGCCTTCCAGGACTTGATAAATGTATTTCAGGTACTAAAATAACTGTTAAATCGAATGTTACTTCAGCATAAATTTCAATAACTCCCAATACCAACTTGTAGAAGGCCCTTTCCCTACGTCACTTCCCCTAATACAATCCATGTTTGCTCGCAAGTGTGCAACGTAATCAAGCGACAGGTCGTCGTTCTCGTTGCCAACAGACCCACAACAGACCGTCTCAGGTCTGTCCGACAACAAGATTTATTTTCCACCAGGCGTAATAAGTCCGCGAGGGGAGGCGGAGACGTCGGACGTGCGCCACGTGTGCCGAACAGACGCCGCCATTACAGGCATTTAATTATAAGTTTACGCCCGGTTTATTGTTCCGTCGTGGAAAACCGGAGACGACGACGACGTCAGCGGTGGCTTGTCGCAGACGACGACCACGACGCCGTCGACCGACCGACGTTCAGGGAATGACGAGTAGAAACGGAGTAAGGGTTGAGGGGGTCGGTTTGAAGACCACGAAGAGTACTGGCAAGGCTGGAGGGGAGGGGGTGGTTCGGGGTTACGTCGAAAGAGCCCACCAAGACGTCGACGTGATCCTGTGTAACCTGCTTGGGGGCGGCACACACGAGAGCGTACCAACAGGGGCGCGTTTCCACGTACGTTTTACGAGAAACAATAAGCCGGCTCTGGCTTAATGACGTCGTCAAACGGTATTATGTCTCGCGGGGGCCGCAGAGTGGACGGTTTCCCCAACGTCCCTGGGATGGATGCATTCGCGCGGCTGCGGCGGGCGTTATATGCGACGACGGCGTTTTAGGAGGCGGAAAAAGAGGGGGCCAGGGGACTGCATTTAAGGGGTTCGACCGCCAGAAAAGAAAACTCATTTCGCGGATAGCAGCCGTTCCCTCGACCGACGACGTTCGCACACCCCGAACCACCTATCCAGATACCACGACCGTCATCACACGCGCGTTCCGACGCCCTTTGGGGATCGTTGGAATTTTTATTTTTGCTTCTTGGGAAATTCGCCTCGACGGGATTTATGGACGCATTTAGGGGACGCCTGTTCCGAGCTATTGTCTTTTAACCTGTTAAACCGGGGACGTTCGGCGAGCGGACATATCCTGAACGTTCGTTTATACTTGGTCTGTTCAGGGACGGTTCTGTGCTGACGAGTATATTGTTTAACACGTTCACTGCCACAGTGGAAAAGGCAGTACGTAGCTAGACATGCTTTATTTTGTTTTTTCAGTCATAAATTGTCGAAGATATTTGAGTTTAGTTAATAGAGACTGTAGGTCTTCTTTTAAATTATAATGCGATATTAATTTCATGCAAACATTTTATAACAGTGTTTAAATAATCCAGACACTTTTCAATGTACGTGTCACCTATATTTGGGTGACGTGGCAGTCAAAGTGTTAACACGTTCACTGCCACAGTGGAAAAGGCTGTAGTAGCTAGACACACTTTATTTCGTTTTTTAAGTCATAAATTGACGAAAATATTTGAGTTTAATAGAGAGTGTAGGTCTTGTTGTAAATTATAATGCGATATTAATTTCATGCAAACATTTTATAACAGTGTTTAAATAATCCAGACACTTTTCAATGTACGTGTCATCTATACATATTTGGGTGACGTGGCAGTCAAAGTGTTAACACGTTCACTGCCACAGTCGAAAAGGCAGTACGTAGCCAGACACACTTTATTTCGTTTTTTAAGTCATAAATTGACGAAAATATTTGAGTTTAATAGAGAGTGTAGGTCTTGTTGTAAATTATAATGCGATATTAATTTCATGCAAACATTTTATAACAGTGTTTAAATAATCCAGACACTTTTCAATGTACGTGTCATCTATACATATTTGGGTGACGTGGCAGTCAAAGTGTTAACACGTTCACTGCTACAGTGGAAAAGGCAGTACGTAGCCAGACACGCTTTATTTCGTTTTTTAAGTCATAAATCTTTGAAAATATATGCGTTTGATTAATAGAGATTGCTTGTCTTGTTTTAAATTATATTGTGATATCACTCTTATGTCAAAATTTTGTAGAAGTATTTAAATAATCCAGCATGTTTGCAATGTTTCAACTGCGAGTTATCTCGTAGCTGGCAGTCAACGTGTTAAGGGGGGAGCCTGGTGTGAATAGCTAGGAATGAACGAATTTTTGAGAATTTATTGGAAAGAGAGTATTAAACCAATCTCTTTGGAACTATGGGAAGACTTAATTGTACGATTATACCGAATAAAAAAATGTTTCACGTCGGAGTATGTAACTAAAAGAATGTTTAAACGTTATTACTGATCATGGACCGTAGTACATCGAGGCATGTTTAATTAATAAACAAAAATTCTAACGCGCGAGGTGTCGAAACTCGGAAAATTCCATCCGGCGGGGTTATTGATCCCGGTGAAAAAGGTGCAGCTGAAGTTTTGATCAACGTTCATCTCCGAAAATTGGATCGCCGCGTCGCTGGTTCGAAAATTGAATATTTTATGCTCGGATCAATAACCCCGGTGACGTGTTCGAAATTTGCAATACCTCTGCAAACAATATTCCTTGGCCCTTGAAATAAAGAATCCAATCGAATGTTTCAACCCTCTGGTATAATGAAAAATCAAACCAAAAAAGGTTGCCCTGAAATTTGATTAAAAAAAATTTCTTTATACCAGAATGGTCCACATAAAACGGTGTAAAATGACAAGCTGCATCGATCAATGCATGAAAAACTATATGGTTTCATTTAAAAAAAAATAAAATTGGCCTTCATATGCCATCCACGCCTCCACCTACAAAAAAACTATTGACATCAAATTCTGTTCTCCTCGATACCATTCAACTTTTGATTGAAACACTTACCGGTATCACAAATAATTTCAG